CACTATGGGAGGAGGAAGGTGTTATCTGTAATGTGGAAATCAGAGTTTCATTTAATGACATCATGCCTAAGGGCCTCTACAGAAGCTCCAAAAGTTTGTTGTACCTTACTTCGATCAAACACTAATTTGGGATACGACCTTGATGATCCTGCTGAAGGGTCTTTACCGAAGGCAGAAGTTATCATGCCGATTTAGGAACGTGTGTTGCTACCACATCAACTTGCAAAAAGTCTCACATCGAATAAATGTGCAAATATCCCAATACTTTTTGTCTATTAAAGGGCAATGTTCCCAAAATGGAAAGGTAAATTAACCTAAACCCTAAGAAATGTGCAAATATCCCAATACTTTTTGTCTATTAAAGGGCAATGTTCCCAAAATGGAAAGGTAAATTAACCTAAACCCTAAGAAATGTGCAAATATCCCAATACTTTTTGTCTATTAAAGGGCAATGTTCCCAAAATGGAAAGGTAAATTAACCTAAACCCTAAGAAATGTGCAAATATCCCAATACTTTTTGTCTATTAAAGGGCAATGTTCCCAAAATGGAAAGGTAAATTAACCTAAACCCTAAGAAATGTGCAAATATCCCAATACTTTTTGTCTATTAAAGGGCAATGTTCCCAAAATGGAAAGGTAAATTAACCTAAACCCTAAGAAATGTGCAAATATCCCAATACTTTTTGTCTATTAAAGGGCAATGTTCCCAAAATGGAAAGGTAAATTAACCTAAACCCTAAGAAATGTGCAAATATCCCAATACTTTTTGTCTATTAAAGGGCAATGTTCCCAAAATGGAAAGGTAAATTAACCTAAACCCTAAGAAATGTGCAAATATCCCAATACTTTTTGTCTATTAAAGGGCAATGTTCCCGAAATGGAAAGGTAAATTAACCTAAAACCAGTGCCAAGGTCTTGACTATCGCTTTCTCTCTTTCCTTTGCAGACCTTACGTCGCTTGCCGAATATTACTTCTGCCTAATCTACCGAAGATAACCACATTCTCATTCCCCACAAGTTGTATCCAGATTTGGACATCAACACCTCTTTAATTAGAAGATAATGTGTTCATGTTTGACATTTTATAACGTGTAATTTTATGTGACAATTTAACAACATAAGACATCGAATTGCCCAATTTTAAAATATACGGAATAATGGAAATCTTCTTTTGTACTATAGTTTGGCTCGAGTTTGAGTCATATATATTCAGCCATGACATGAGGACTTCTTGTGCACTTGTAAAAATCCACACAGGGGTTCAGCTTGGAGAACAATGGAGACAAAAATGTTCATTTTATATTTGGGGGTTAGAACTGCATCTGCAAGAAAAACCTTATGGTTTGAAATTTATTATCTTGGAATCTAAATTGGGTTTGGAAGGTGCAACGTCTCTCTCTCACAGTTGACTGGAAATAAATTTAAAGTTTGTATGCATTATTAGTTGCAGAAATTAATTAAAGTGTATATATGCTTCATTAATCCTAGCTGACATAGCCGTCGATAAATAATTAGCCTCATAATTAGCTCAGACAAATAATAAATGAAAGTAGACATTTTTATTTTGTCACTACAGTTCGCCGTGCACGTTTTCTGCAGAATTTAAGTTTCATAATGCTGCGCTTTATATATGCAGCAAAGTAAGGTAGGTACATATATACATGTATGTATTAACATTATTTACCTGTATGTCAGGTACATAATTTAATGTGGGTGCTTGTCTGATCGATTGGTATAATATGTGAGTCTTTACTTTTTATTGATTAAATTGTATTTTATCTATATATTAGGAATATTATAAAGGAAAAAAAATTCAAAATTCAAAATTTGGAATTCAATTTCAAGGAAATAATGCATTAAATTTAGATTTTCAATGTGTTTTCCTTATTTACCTTAAAGGGTAAAATCGACACAACAAAAAAGTAATAAATGTCAAAGGACCTACATCTAAAACCAAAAACACGAGGACTAGACCCAATGATAGCTAATCGTTTTGGACTTAGATCTAAGAACCCCTACTTTTTATCTAAAATTTTGACCAGCACTGTTATATGAGGTATTCTCTAATTCAGTTTAATAACATTAACATTTTTTAAATATTTGTCACCTTCAATCGAAAACTCTGACCAGCAAGGTAGAAAAACTTGTATGAAACGTGTGAATTGTTAGCACTGTTTTGTTATTTCCAATTAGTCACAAACTGCCACGTGGAAAAGTTATCACACGTGGCATGTCGTGAGTAGTCGAAAATAGCAAACGTTTCACACAAGTGTTTCTCATTATATGGGATCTCTGTCACCTCGATCGAGATCAAATCTTATCGTCTTTATATTGTGTTTGATTTGATATTGAATTCTCAAAGGCCTGTGAAATATGCAAGCCTATGCAAATCCCCGTCCAAAAGGATTTGGGTTTTTATTGTGATTTTGCCGCAAAGAGAGCAGTATTAGTTCTTGTGGCAGATCATCTTATTAGGTTTGAAATATGAATGCAATTTATGACAATTTTTTTAATAATAATTGTAGTCAGCCCTCATAATATATTATACATCATAAATAAATTTTTTATACATAAAAAAAATATAATAATAATAACTTTGTAATGCGTCATAACTTTTGAAACAACTAGTAGGTTAAGTTATTGAATTTCAATCAACTACCAGGATTTAAGACTCACTGCTGGCGTTATAATAATATTATAGTTAAGGCGGGAATATAATATCAATTCTGAAATCATTGTGTGAAAGCTGGTTCGTATTTTTAGGTTTTCTTTCCAACTTCATCACCTTGTCAGTGCCAACTTATAAAAGTCATCCCACCAAATATTTACATTCTGGAAATTAAATTATTATCTTATGTGTTGACTAACAATTTATTCACAGTTCCTGTGGGGGAAAAGAATGACACGTTTGCACAATATTGTAGAGAAGAAAGTGATTGCCCCAGGATTGGATCGCATTCTTAGGATCTGTTTTTGCTGCCATTCATTATTTATATCAATGATAGTGGGGATGGGGGATTTTAATACAGTATTTCGAGTATAAGGATAATTGTTCTTAATTACTTTTTTTACGAACTTGGTGTGTTTGCCAGTCTTTTTAAAGAGAAAATGACATATGAGAGAGGTGAGGGAGACGACTCGACGAGAGAGAAACATACAATTAAATAGATTTAATTATTTAATTATTTGAGTATAAAATATCTTCTTCTTTCATTGAACTTATTCGTTTTTCGTTGAAATTTGTATTTCAAAGTATGGGTCAGGCGGCCTTTGCCCATATAATTGAAAACGTTGGTAGTGTAAAAGCCAATCTTGCAGCCTTGACCAAGAAAAGGGCTCAAGGACTGAACTGGGGTAGCCGTGTTGGAAATACGCGTGGACAACACATCTTCTATTCACAAGAGAAGAGAGGCCGTGACGTGCACTTAATTTCATGTTATTAGGGATACTGATTTATTATCTTTCAATATTTTAACACCGAAATTGATATCTACAATCAAATTCTAAATCTAATCATGCAATTCTTCGTAAATTACACATATCATTCATTCAAACTCGCGTGTTTAATATTTGTGAAAAATTAACTAAACAAAAAATATTATGTTATGTGGTATATCATATGAAAACATCGGCCGTCACATAATGTTATTCGTTCACGTATTATAACATGATGCATTTCTTGCCAGCCGGCCATCCATGAGCGTGAGAGTTATCCTGAACTTGTTAGGCAGCTGGTCCTAATTCATCGACGCATTTGAAAACCCCGCAAGCTATAGAGTCTAGAGAGGCTGCAGATAAATCTGGCGCCACATAAATTATTCGTAAATTACACGTATCATTCAAACTCTCGTGTTTAATATTTGTGAAAAATTAACTAAACAAAAAACATTATGTTATGTGGTATCATATGAAAACACCGTCACATAATGTTATTCGTTCACGTATTATAACATGATGCATTTCTTGCCAGCCGGCCATCCATGAGCGTGAGAGTTATCCTGAACTTGTTAGGCAGCTGGTCCTAATTCATCGACGCATTTGAAAACCCCGCAAGCTATAGAGTCTAGAGAGGCTGCAGATAAATCTGGCGCCACATATCCAATTGATCACATACGTACATATCGGAAGTATGAAAATGTGGCATAGCATGAGCACATACCCAGCAGAGTCCTATTCCTCTGCCAGTGTGTCTTCTTCCAACTTATCCACCTCCTTTGTTGGCCATTGTCCTTTCCCTAGTTGTTCATTGAAGTTGAATTCATATGGACCCTACCCTAACCCATTTGTCCAAAAAGTCATTCTCTCTACAAGAGCCTTGTAGTTTAAGAGATAAAGTATAGTAGCATTTACACCTGCATTCGAGTTCTTCGGTTCGATTCCTTTCTCCTTTAATATCTATTGAATAATAAAAAAAGATATTCTTGTCCTTTCCCTAGTTGTTCATTGAAGTTAAATTCATATGGACCCTACCCTAACCCATTTGTTCAAAAAGTCATTCTCTCTACAAGAGCCTTGTAGTTTAAGAGATAAGTATAGTAGCATTTACACCTGCATTCGAGTTCTTCGGTTCGATTCCTTTCTCCTTTAATATCTATTGAATAATAAAAAAGATATTTTAGTCATATATCCATTCTTAGCACTAAAACTATATATAAATAAATTCTACACCATTTCATTTCTATAAACAAACCCAAAAAATGACAATTGAGTGTTTTGGGTTTTTTTTTATGAGGTTTTGGGGTTGGGTTTGTTTTAAGAAATCAATGACAGTTTTGTAATTTAAAAAAAGTTAAAAACCTTTTTGTTATGTTGTAAATGGGCTTTGGGTGTGTTTCTAAAGTCTATTTCGTATAAGGTTTTTTTTATTTTATAATTTGGGTTCCTATATTTGGTATAATAGTGAATCTCCCTAAAAAAAATATATATGTTTAAGAAAAAGTCATCCTCTCTTAATTTCACACTCTACCCTTCATGAAAAAAGGGCATAAACCCACTATCCTCTGCCTATCTATTTAAAGCTTCAAACTACTCTTAGTCCTTTAACTTCTCTCCTATTCTTTCTTTTAGTCTCTGAGTTGGGTTGGTACTTTGGGAACATGGAGAGCCAGAGCCAGTACATTGGGAGCAATAGTGGGATGGATGGGGTGGATCAGAAGGAAGGGAAGGTAGCAAACCAGAGAAAAGCAGGGACTTGTGAGTCAATTCTGAGGATTTTGGCCTTCATGCTAACTCTAACTGCAGCTGTAGTTCTTGGGGTCAGTAAACAAACCGAAATTGTGTCAGTGAAGATCCTCCCAACCTTGCCTCCTATTGATGTTCCAGCCACTGCTAAGTGGCATTACTTATCTGCTTTTGTGTAAGCTCTCTCTCTCTCTCTCTCTGATTTGAACACTAACTAATTACTAATGTTTTCTTTGATGATACATCCACACATACAGTTTTTTTTTTTTTTTTGCATTATTTAACTTCTTTTTTTTTGGACGAAATTTAACATGTTTGTTGGAAAATCTAACATGTTATGTTATCAGACTGTTATTCGAGAACTATTAACAGTCTCACAACATAACATACTATGCGAGATGCGAGATATCTACCAAGACCTAGAAATCATAACCTTATAAGAGATTGGCTTGAGTAAAGCTAGATGTGATTTGATACAACACAAACTGAAGCTTAAGGCCAAAATCATAAACGAGGGATTTCTTAGATAAAAACAGAACACATATCTCCTACATGAAGATCTGGAAGATCTTAGCTTCCAAATTGCAGTAAACTCACATAGTTGACTCAGTCCTCCACCCACCCATGCCTTATCTAAATATTTCTAGCTATTATTCCCGTGATTGCATAAAATCCCCTATGCATGTGAGAAAACTTACAAGTCCCTCTTGCTTGTTTTCTTTTATGTGGTGAAAGGTCGACATCAACCATAATAATATCATCCAAGTTTACAAGTCCCTCATAAGTACGTAATCCTACCTTCTCACCATTGTTGTTGTCATTATCATCCTCCTTGAAATAGAGTTCTCAATGACAGAAACTTGCGTAAATGTCCTCAACTACTTTGTCTTACTAATTTTCAATCTGGTGCTGGACACCGCAGTCTATAATTTGTAGACTATATGTTTACTCACCACCTATAATCGGGGCGAATATTAACATCGCATTAATTACCTAGATGAGTGTGATTTAATCTACCACCTACACAAATGAATGGGTATTGTAATGTTACCAATTAACAGTGGCGAGCAAAAAAAGTGTGTTGTCAAGAACTACAACAACAAAAACTCCTCTAAAATTTCCTTCTTTTTGTTTTGGTAACTCTAGATTATTGGTAAGTAATTATTGTATAATTTTTTGTAACTAATTTTACCAAGGTTGACTATGTGCTAGGTACTTTGTGGTAGCAAATGCCATAGCATGTGCATATGCAGCATTTTCCCTAGTCCTTTTGTTTGCGAATCGGGGCACCAAGAGCAGCTTAGGGCTGGTGATCATCTTCCTTGATCAGTTAATGGTGGCATTGCTCTTCTCCTGCAATGGAGCCGCCGCGGCAATTGGTCTGATGGGGTACCAAGGGAATTCACATGTGCAATGGAACAAGGTCTGCAACGTGTTCGGGCGATTTTGTAACCATGCGGCAGCTGCAATAGTCCTGTCCCTGCTTGCATCTCTAGTATTTATGTACCTAGTTGGGCTTGCTGCCTTAGGCCTCCACAGGCGGTCTAAGTAGAATAATGGCATGCACTGCACCCTCTAATTTGCAATACCTATAACAGAGGTAGAGCCCAATTTTTATTCTCCATGTCAAGTACTAGCTAGTTTGGTGTGTGCATAATAAATAAATTTGATTTCTTTCACCAATATTTCTTCTGAAGTATTATTTGTCCACTATAGTATTTCTGAAACTGCTTATTGTTGTCAATTGCTTTCCAAAGTCTACATGGAAGCAGTTAGATCATTATGACATAATCTCTCGTGAAAAAGTCAAAGCGTATCTTCAATTTCAAACATTAATTGGAAGGAAAATAAAAAGTTGGGTTGGTGGGGGCTTTCTTGTATACACAAAGTGTTATATATATATATATAGAGAGAGAGAGAGAGAGAGAGAGAGAGAGAGAGAGGAGAAATAGGTGTTTGATTTTGTGGCTTCTGTTTTCCTAAGGGTGAAATCAAAGGTTGATAAAAAGAGTTCCTAGCAAATTTTTTTTTTGTAATTAAAAGTCTTGAAATATGAGAAATATTGTTGAATTTGGTTAGGCCACTACCTACTAGAAGGTAGCGCAGTCGTCAACTGGAGCAAAAGAAACCAGTTGTTCTTCAAGGTCAAAACCAACAAAATAGTTCTGTTGCTGGACATTTCCAAATATGGACAACTTTTCATTGGACCTCACCATGGCAAGGCACCAAAGCCCCTTCTTTGCTTCAATGTAAGTAGTTTGTTTCATTAGAATGACTTCTGCACCATCAAAAATGAATGTCACATCAGGTGCTGCAGATTCCAAGTCCTCAAAACTTCCTTCAAAACACAACTCAAACCATTCGCTTGGTCCTCTCCTTTGTGGCAAATCTATGGCTTCGCTCAGTGCCTTGATCAATGCATCATATGCTTCTGATCTAAGAAATGTGTAAGTTGTGCCTGAATCAATCATAAACCCTCCTTCCCCATCACTTGTCATGTTAAAAATCCCATCAGGGAGAGGTACATTTTGGTCACCAATGCGAATTCCAATAAGAGTGACATAGTAATACCGATCCTCTCCCTCCAGAAATGGAGTTTGCCCACCAGAGATCACTGCCTCTGATCCAAAATACATCCTGCTTCCCGATCCCTCGTTGTTCGGGAGCACCATGCAGTATGAGAACTTTTTTATGCCTAGTTGAGAAATTAAGGACAGGGGCTGCCGGCTCAAGCCGAGAGCACCTGCTTCATTCCCAACAAAATGCCATGAAGAGTAGTCAGAACAACCAAAATCCAAGTGACCAACATCCACAAGGTTCCTCTCAGGGTCTTCAAATGCAAACTTGTCATGGGACAGAGTTCCCTCTGTTGTAGAACCATCTCCATATCTTACCCTATAGTAGCAAGGGTCAAGAAACTCTGCGCAGGTTCTCCTGCGTACCCCTAAAGCCTCACATGCAAGGGAATCACACGGATGGTGACCATAAGAGGAGGATTTTGCAGGGTTGAAGACAGGGGATCTTTGTGAGCATTTGACCCAAATGACCTCACTTCCAGTGTCCATGAAGGCATGTACTTGGGTAGGGGGAGTGCCCACAGAGAAAGTCACTATGTACTCACCATTTTCAGGGACTATTCTACAAGAGATATCATGTTCTGAGGATGAAAAGGTGGTGGTGAGTGAGTGGATGTGGTTAAGGCGCAAGACAGAACGATAAGCAGCAGCTTGTATACGATCATAGGCGGTCATGGAACGATTGTATGATGGGGATAGAGGTGAGTCACGGTGGATCAGACTAACCGAAAAGCCATCACCAGCAGTACTGCTGCTGATAGAGTTTATGGATTGAAGAATAAAGATGGTGTTCAAGAAGAAGAAAATGGTGGAAAAGAGAGAAAGGGCAGTCATATGCCCAGTATCTAATATATGAGAATACTGCATCAGAATTGAAGTACCCAGCCAACTAATGCTTTTTTAGGAAGGTAATCTATGCATTTTGGTGCAATAGTTGTCTATTAATAAGGCAGCATTAGGAGTAGATTTAGTTATTAATGTATACCATGTAAGTTTGTGAACTAATATAAAAAAGTAGGTCAAGAAAGGCGTCAAGGATGTGATAACTTTACTCTTGCATCAAAAGCAGCTGAGTGAATAATATTTAGACATTAGAAAGAATGGTTGCATGGTTAGGTATTTTATGGTTAAGGGTTCATATTGGAAAAACAGCCACAGGAAGCTGAAGAAAAGCTTCAAGGGTGTGAATGCCTGTCTTGGAATCAAAAGATGAGGAAAGACTAATATGATACAAAAGCATGTCCAAGCTCCTGGCCATGGCTATACAGCTAACCTAGCGAACCCCCGTGCCAAGTCGTGATCAGAAGGTAGCCCAGCCAACTGGAGCAAATGAAATCACTCTTTGTTCAAGGTCATAACCAACATAATAGTTCTGCTGCTGAATATTTGCAAATGTGGACAACTTTTCGTTGGACCTGATAATGGTAAGGCACCAAAGTCCCTGCTCTACTTTAATATAAGTAGTTTGCTTCGTTAGCATGACTTAACTACACCATAATTAACATCTGGTCCTGCAGAGTCCAAGCCCTCAAAACTTCCCTCAAAACACTGCTCAAACCATTCGATCGGATCTCTCCTTTGCAGCAAGCGTATGGCTTTGTGCAGTGCAATACGTCTGTTTGAGCAAAATTCTGGAAGGGAAATATTCGTGGGATGATTCCTCAACCTTCGATCTTCCTTCTCTCGCTTCCTCAATCCCTGCGAAATAAATAGGAGTAAATAGACCACACCCGCGGGGTGTTGGCCAAAGGCCCTCCGATGCCTAATTTAGTTCAATTGGATCTTGATAAAGATACGACAATAGCTAAAATGAATGGAGTTTTCTCTCATTGGGAGAGTCGGGTGGCCTTAGCCGTGTGTAGTGGCGCTTAGCCGAGAGAGAGAGAGAGAGAGAGAGAGAGAGAGAGAGAGAGAGGGTTTTTTCGGGTGAGAAAGCAATTAAAAAGAATTACCTCAAATGTCTTGCGTACCTATGTATTTATAGTCTACTTGTGTGCTAGGGTTTTGGGAGAATAATCCAGGATTATTCTTCCCCAAAAAGATGATAGAAATTATTCCAAGAGATTTGGTGGAGATTGGTTCCTTGATTTAGGGAGATATTCCTATCTTAAATCAAAGATAATTTTCCTAATTAAATAGACTTTAATTATGGTAATTAGTTTGACCTAAGGAGTATTCCTTTTCCAAGTGTCGTCTTCTTATTGGCCGGTTAAATATATGTTCTCACAAATGCACCCCCCAACTTTTGCATTGCGATTGTGAGGCATGGAGGCGATGAGAAATATTTACTGGGCTCTCCAACTACATCTAGGCTTTCTTCCTTGAGTTGGGCTTCAAATTGGAGTAGGCTTTTGACTTCTTCTTGGAGTTGGGCTCCCAATGGTAATAGGCTTGTAATTCCTCCTTGACTTAGGATGCCTAACCTTTATAAATACAAAGCTTTTTTTCACTCCTCTTCAAATTGCAAACTTGCCATCCTCTACTTTCTAACTTGTGAGAGAGATTTTGAATGAGTGTACTGCTTGTCGAGGAGAGGAGTCGCGGTGCACGCTAAGGTAGGTCGAATTTATTTATTTTTCTTCTTTTTTTTTCACAGCTAGGACAAGCTGGGTGGGCCCGACTGGTTGTCGTCGTGACCAACGCTGCTGCAAGCTCCCATGAATTTCCCTTTTTTTTTGCGATGAGGACCAGTTGGGTGGGCTTAGCTAGTTGTCGTCGTGACCTTATAGGGTGGCCAGCGCGGCTAGTTGTGATGGCGACATCGGCTGCTGGAGTAGGCAACTACCATTTTTTTTTCATGTCATGGGCCAAGCCCATTTGACTGATGCGGTGCAGTGATAGTGCATCCTGGAGTCGTGGAGGCGCTGACGAGCTGCGGGCCTGGCGCTATTTGGGCCATGCAAGTGGTTTGGTGTGCCTTAGGCCACGCCTACTGTTCCTCTTTTTTTTTTGGTCGCAACTTAGGGTTTTGACATGCTATCTACTTGCAATTTTATTCCCTTTTCGCACCTATTCACCGATCATGTCTTCCTATGAGGGTAGCCGATCACTGAGTTCATAAGTTCCTTTGTACTTGTAAGGTGGTTCCAAGGTGCACAAGAAATGATTCATGGCTAATCTGCATCGTGTCACAACCGATGCTTTTACCATACCTAATGACGTGTGCGTCAAGCTAGCGGTGCCTTCGACTAACGATGTGCCTTGTGTGGATCCGAACGATCCGAATGCCAGAGTTATCACATTCTGTCCATTCTACTTCTCTTTAGGCTTCACGTTCCCATTATCAAAGTTCTTCAAGAAAGTGTTCTATGCATGGAGTGTGCCCCAAGCCAATCTACCGGGCGATCATGTGTTTTGAGAATCTGAGCCGTTTCTTCAAGTTGGATTTGATGGTGTAGCAGTTCTTTTACTTCTTCGAAGTGAGGCGTTACGAGAACTATGCTTAGGTCCTTGTGTACCAAGCTGTTTAGCAATCTCAGCCAAGGAGATCACGTATAGCGCGTCGATATGTTGGAGGTCAGTGAACGGTGGGAAGGCGAGGCCGGAGAAGGTCCACTTGTTCCCCTCACTTAATACGATGATACGTCGTACTTTATTGATCTGCTTCAACTTTGTTTGAATTTCTTTGATGTATGACTAACTGACTTATGTCTTCTGCTTTCAGAGAATGACATCAACAAGAAGCTGGATCTTGAGCCGGACATGGCTAAGGTCCGTTGGGCCCTAAACATCCTTGTGAGGTTTCGCGAATGGCGTTGGCTGTTGAGCGAGTAGCGGAAAGAAGTTGGTGGTCTACCCCTCCCAAGGATGTTGAGAGATGGAAGCAGTATGGCCCAGACTCGGACGATCTGCCTGCCGAATGGGAGAAGTCCTCGACCGAACTCCCTCAAAAGAGGAAGGCTGATGCCAAGTCCTCCAAAGATGAAGCTGGAACCTCGCAGGCAAGGGACTTGTCTCCGTTAAGAAAGAAGCCAAGACTTCATTCTGCTGTAATCTAGTCTATTTCGAAAGAGGTCTCATAAACTGAGAAGACTCAAGTGGGAGCTGCTCCTTTGTCGTCTGCTAGGGTCAAGCACCTCGTCGGCGCAGATAGTAAGAAGATTGGTG